GCACTAACATGTCACAAATGTGTAGTCTAGCAAAAACTAAACTATATATAACGCTTTATTCAAAACCTACCATTCTAATGTATGTCCCTACAATAGCGCACTAAGGAAAACACTTATGTGAAAATGGATTTGAAATCACTCTTTTTGATTATTCAGAATCATGCGTAAAATTCCTGAACCCTTTGGTGAGTTAGTTGAAAGGGGGTGGTGAGCGACTGGTTGGAGATCCCTGGTCTGTATTTCGGAGGCATAGGTGTGACTGAAGCGCAGTAAAGCAGGACCTTCTTGCCGTGAAGCATCACACGGTGTTGCTTGTTTAATATTGCGGGCCTCGTCGGAGTGCAGAGTGAGTGCAGAGTGAGTGGGGGTATGTGAGAGTGCACCGGAGCGATCACAGCCTTTATTACCAGGACACTAATTACACTCACCATCTGCACAATGTGATGCAGATTCAGAGCATGTTAACGCGTTCGCTTTCATCACGGTGATCCCCCAGGAGGCCTCTGTGCACGTGGGACATACTACAGCACATACAGAATTCCAATGACTTTTTGTTTCTACTTGAGTAAGTCAGTTATTTTTCTAATAAAATCCTTGCTACCCAGACGTGGCCCTTTTTTTACCCAGACGTGGCCCAACTATGCTCCTCTCGCAGATCTTATTGGTGGTGGTTATGCTGAGGAGAGGCACTGGACACAGACTGTATATAGACAGTGATAACCGTCTCACTCAATAGGGAAGTACTTGTGATGGCCGTGTTACAGTTATTACCTCCAAATAATACTTTTAATCACTGATTCCTTAACCTAACAACGCCACCCTATATTTTAATAGGGAAACCCACAAGGACGTGCACGTCCGTGATTGAGCGGACCAGGAGACACAATTGAGAAAAAATGGTTCCGTTTATTTACAATAAAGGTAGATACACTTGTACAAAAATAAGAGTTTGGTTCTTTTAAAATGAGCTCTTTACACGACAATTATTGAACTATGCCTAAACATTATACAAGACCTTAAAAAATAATCCCCAAATGCCCCCCACAGTTCCTACTGGACCCCCCTACCGGAGGTTCGTGCTGGTCGACACGGCAGTGACTGGCACGGCGCACGCGTCAGAGCGCACGCAAATGTGGCCGGGCAGCTGTGCTGTCCTTGTTCTAGTCCCAGTCCCAGTCCTAGTCCTAGTCCTAGTCCCAGTCCTAGCACTAGTCGTCTAGTCAAATCTTAACCGGTTAGGGGGGGACAAGGGTGCGGAGACTGGGTCCACGGCCCAGGGAGCAGGAGAGAAGGAATGGGTGAAGGAGAGACACGCTGGGAGTAATATCCCAAAATAAAAGGCTTCAGAGGCGCTGTGCGTGCATATTAGCTGATTGGAATGGCTTGACCCAAAGCCGAACAGAGTTGGGCACTGCCACTGTGCCGCAGTCTGGTGCACTGGTTGTGTGTAAGCACTTGCCTGACGCTGTGCACGGGGCTGCTTGGTGTTGTGGCCTGCAGCATGAGCACAGGGTCTAGAGTGAGAGCCAAGCCATACGTTGAACTGTGTAACTTGAATGCTGCACAGCTCCCAGGCAGTGGGTCAGAGGCAAGGAGGAGCGCAGGTGCGCAAACTACCTTTTAATGGCCTTTTGAGGCAGTACGCGATAGGCTACCAGCGGCTCAAGGGCCTACCACCATATACTCATGGAAGAAGTTCCAACTCACTTTGGCTCCTACTAACCTACAAAGAAAAGTAAACTTGTCTGAGCAACTGCTTATGCCACACTCATCATTTTGGGCTTAAAAATCTATGGTTTTGCACTTTCTTGTGTTCATATCTTGATACTGTCTTAAAAAATCCAGATCTGGGCCATTTAAGGGGAAACTCCTGCTTGCCTTCAATCAATAAATCAACACATTTCCTACTCAAGGCAACACAAAGCCATAGACAACCATGATAGCTTCACGTATCAGGGGCAGACCTGTTGCTAACGCCATCGTAAAAAATGCCCATATAAAGAAACTACTCTCCTAATTTACAGTCTATGGGACTGTATTAAATATATTGATTTTGTAAAATACATACAGTACTTTATGTCAAAAATATGCATTATTTTAACCCTTTAAACGTCACTCCTTGAAGTAAGCCACGTCATTTTTTTGAGATGTAGAAGCACCAATAAGGTTGAGATGCAGCTTGATGGTAAAAGTGCCTAAAACTAAGTAATAGAAAGGCCCCCATGAGGAAGATTTCAGTTCCAAGCTTCAAGTAGATATGACTCAAAAGGGGATCCACCCAATGGTTGAGGAAATAATAAAAGGGTTAAAAATGAAATACAGTTGAAGTTGCAAACATCAGCTTTAATAAGGATTTGGAACAGCCAAGGAGTGCTGTAATCCACGTGCAGCCATCATCCTGAAGGGCTGTACACTCACAGACAGTGCCTATCAACCCACAACATACCCACTTGAGGAGCATCACAAATCTCTTTATAAGCTAATGCTAATAGATGACTAATAAAGGTGGCGCTGGTGTCGGTGCGTCCGGAAGCCGCAGAGACAGCGGCATCTGTCTCCTGACCTTTGCAATGTGCTGGCTTGGTAAATGAGACGCATGCTACATCTGTAATGGAGCTCCACACCATTAGGAGCTCCACGAGGCTTCCGCAAGCACACATTTAAGAGCTAATGAAGGAGAGCGGACACACAAATCTTCCTCTTTGTCTTTCTACCTGAAACGATGCATCTTTTGGGATTCTTAAACAGTGAAAGGTGAACTTTGAATCAGTCCGACTGGTTTTTTCTCTGCTCTGGCACATCGTTAGTATTCATATGGATTTTGACACGATTGGGGATTCACTTCACAACTGCCTGTGAGAGCCTGATCCTGTCAGATCTCAGAAGCTAAGCAGGGCAGGGCCTGGTTATTTCTGTAATGGGAGACCTGTCTGAATATCATGGGTATCACAGTGGGGCTGCTGCAGGTGTAAAAGTGCCAATCTGCCGGAGTGTTCTAAGGCAAGACACTTCTCCAATATGTGCGCACAAGAGGTTGGTGGTAGTCAGAGAAGCCGATGATGGGGCACAAACTGGTTGCCTCATTCTATGGTAGTTACCCCACTGGTTACCCCTATTGCTAAAAACATGTACTATAGGCAGTGTTGGGGGTTGCATTTGAATCCGGTCCGTGCAATTACAGTGTGACGTTAAACTGGTCCATAGCTCTAAAAAGGTTGAGATCGTTGGAGTAGGGCATCACTCCAGTCTGAAAGGTAATCCTCCAGCTCCAGTAGTCCCGGGCCAAGCAAATCATCAACATTTGGTGATGGGCAATCCCTACAACAATCACAGACGTCTGTCCCTGGGTGCGAGGATAACGTCATCGAAACAATAGCCCAAATAAGGAAATTGGCTACAGCTAGCTTCTTATCAAATCGGCTGCTTTCACATTCAGCACACACTGTGGTAATGTTAGCACTCGGCCAGTCCGCTCCTAATTTACGACCTATGGCAGAGTGTGGAGGGGACAGTAAATGGCCTGTACCCTCTCCATGACCCCGGACTCTGAGGCTCTGCTGTGTGATAGATTTCCCCTCAGAATCATAAACCCCCCACCCACCATCCATCCTCGCACACTGCCCCAATCACTACAGGTTTTCATTCTTCATTTGCTCTAATACGGCGTGGAAGAAATACTCATATAGTAGACACATCAGCAAATGGCACTTAGGAGGGTTTTGCAATGTTCTTCTATGGCTTTTTGGTATTTGTTCTTCATGGATCATCAACATTTGACATAGTTCATTGCTGATTTGATGTTGTGGCTCTTGTCATCTTGATGAAAGGTGTTCCATGATATTTCCCCACACAAAGATTGCACGAACGTCTTTGTGTAACACCATGCATTATGCTTTATGGACGTACTGTGTAATAATTCAGCATGAGCTTCAATTATTTTGAGTTTCAACAACAAAACTTTGCATTGCTTTGAGTGTTATCCTTCCTCAAAAACAGGCCATTCTCAATCTGCTGATGTCATAGCCCAGACAAAGCATCGGACATATATTGTCTCCCATATACTCACTCACTATAGTGCTTGCAGCCAATTTCCTTATATGGGCATTTGTTCCGACAACGTTAGCTGTAGCGGGGCCAGACATGTTGCTAACATGGATGCTAAGGCAGGCTGGAGTGGTTCCTGCAAATGAAGGCAGCTGATTGGTCAATCCTTATGTGGCTCAAATCTGAATTTACAAAGACAATCTCACAATATAAACACCAGCAGGATCTTAGAGAGCGCTAAACCATGGATTACTTTTCAAAATGGTGAGTGTGACACAAACAATTACTGAGCTACAGGAGTTATAGGAGCCAGAGTGAGGTGGAGCAACACTTTGTGCATGAGCACTTCCCATCGGGCTTCATTAAGCTAGAGGGTGAGCATTGTCCATATAGTAAATTATTCTCACCTTTGAACATTAGTCATTCATTAAAACTGTGTCTATCTTGTATTATTCCCACTGTTGCTAAGTATGGCTATTCTAAAACATGAGACACAAGCCTTAAAAGTGTCTTTTAAAGCTGACTTTCAAACTGTAAAAATGGTGGAAGTTCTTTTTTTTTTACCTGTCTACTTATTATTAGTTTCCATAGCGCTCAAAACAGTTTGGTAATTCAGTTGATTTCATGTACCAGTTTTTAGGACCTCAAGCATTAGATCTGCATTCTTCAATCTAAACTACTGTGAGCGCTTTACTAAGCCAATCCCACACAGTCATGTAGTATGCAAGAGTGAAAGTGTTTTCTTCTAAGGCACCACATTTTGCGTTGATTTGTCCACAGTACACACAAAATCTATTATTTACGAAACAAGAAACTCACTCGCTTTGGAGATGCAAACTTTAAAATAAAAAAAGAGTTTGTCTTCAATCCACTATAGTTACGCTCTCAGTCTTTTCAGAATCTCTATTAATTAACCTTACTTCAAAGGAACACGGCTCTGTACAAAGCAAACGCAATTAGTGGCTAATGAAAAAGACAAGCTCCGTGAGTGCCTCTACGATCACCACATCATCAGGAATCAGCACGCCCACCTCCACTTCCCCCCTTTGCCCCCACCCATGGGAGACAGCCGACAGCGAGAGCACAACTACACCACAATGTACAATATATACCTCAACACTGCATTGACACATTGAGTATTTTACAAAGCACTACTAGTGAAAACCGGATGCTGACCGTCTGTCCGTCTTAATCGAATAGAGCAAGACACATGCTCGTGCTCGTGGACATTGACCTACATTGAAAAGTAAACTTCAAATCCAGTTAGTTTGGTTTGTCCCTTTCTACTCTGTTTACGCTGGCATGTAGGTCACGTAAACTGAATACCACTGAGAGAGGGCCAGCAGATGTATCTAAGAGCACAGGGAAAACCCATGTTTATATAAGAAATGTGTACATTTGGATGCATATAGGCAACTCAGACTAGGAAAAGATCGCCCAGTTTGACTTGAAAATGAAGCCCTCCACCGTCTAGCATCTTCATATATTTCAGATTTACTTGTGCCTTTTGAAGTTGTGTGTTACTCAAGACTTATGGAAAAAGGTTATTTCTTGAGCAGGAGGTAAGGTTGGATGGTACGAAGGTAAGCTTAATGGGCCAGACTATAGGAGCAGACTGGAACCCTGGAATTGCCAAGAACAAAACCAAGTTAAGCACAAAAAACAAAAACAAAAAACTACCCTATCCTGTCTGCAGCTGAAGGTGGGAGAAACGGCTTTCTCTCAATATGCTCTTTGTAACCCTAAAGCCTGAACCCTGAGTTTACAGTATGTATGATAGCAATTTCATTTACAAATACTGTTCCAAGGTTTGAGAGCAAAAGCAAAGTTACAAGATGCCTTTTTTTGTTCTTATTGTAAACCTACTCTATGCATAGTAGCAGCAGAGCAGTGTGAAGAGCTCTGCGTAAGTGCATCCATGACCGGAGTATTGATTGATAACGATGCTGTGGTTGCCCCCGGCGATGTGGCATCTCTTGCATGACGATGTGCAGCGAGTGAAGCCGATCAAAGCGCAGAGGTATCAAATATGAACTGGGAATAAATGTTTAAGATGTGATGTGGAGCAGCGCAGTCCAATGTCCACTGCAGGAAAACAGGAGGCACAGGCAGGCTGGGGGTAAATGTGAAGGGCAGTGCAAAAAACATTTGAATTCAAACAATGAACATTTTATGTTTTTATAAAATCTAATGAATGTCTAAAATTCTATCAAGATGAAGATTTGTATACAGGGTTCTTAAAAGATACTTACATGGGGGGCATTTGTAAATGTATTTTTCCAGCGGGCTTGTATGTTGTACTGGAGTACATACTAACTTTAAAATCACAATGAATTAGTGACATGTTAGTACCATATGAACCAGCCAGGACTCTGAGGAGCACAGGGACTGGACTCCTGTTAGTGCCCAGAGTCAGAACTAAACATGGGGAGGCTGCTTTTCAGATTCATGCTGCTAAAATCTGGAACAGTCTTCCTGAAGATGTGAGACAGGCCTCCTCTCTGACAATGTTTAAAACCAGGTTAAAGACAGTTCTGTTTAGCTGTGCCTACAACTGAGGGATTTTATATTTTTATCTTTCTTTTTAATGTTCTGTGATTATTTATGATTTTAATGCTTTCTTGTTTTGTTCAGCACTTTGAATTGCCTTGTGTATGAATTGTGCTATATAAATAAACTTGCCTTGCCTTGCCTAGTAAAAATACACTTAATAACCGCATTGCTATATGAGCTGCAGGGTTCAAAGAACTAGAAAAAAGTAGCAACTTTTAGTCAGGAATTTAAGGTATAAGAAACATCCACTATATCCACAGCTATATAAACTATTGGTACAAGACTTGAGTTGAGACTGGAGTTTGATAATTTACTATTAGAAATTCCAGTCTGTAGGTGCCCAAAACTGCGAAGAACATTTGTCCACTTTCTATCTTGATGCTGGGGACCGTCACAGTGAAGACATTCAGAGAGTTCAGAGTGCTAGGTCTGTCAGACCTGTGCTGAATATAAACGCTCAGGTATGACGGAAGACCTGCAGAGAAGTTTAAATCCTACAAACCCATACCTGTACAAGCCTCTAGCTTGAGATCGGGCAAAAAGCCTGTATAATGTCAATCAGGGATCATTTCTGTTATCGACGACACTGAGGGCAGTGGTTTAAAGTGTTACCTTGAACCTTGAGGTTTCAAACTCACTGTAGGTTTCCTTCTCATCGGGACTCACACACTTCTAAAACTCCGATTGCAGATTTTACTAAACCTGTCAGCTTTACTGCAAACACCGCCTATAGGAGTGACCCAGCCGCCCCGAATGAAAATAATAATGAGGCTTGCACAAGTAGTGATCGGTCGCATAATTAACATACTTTTCTGCCTGTAACAACGTGAGCAGAGAGTGTGAGAGAGAATCCATCACATGTTCACATCCGCAGCACTGTCTGGTGTTTTTATCACAGATCATTGTCCTTCGCCCAGACGGTCGCATGTCCCAAAGCTCACACCGACAACTTTAATCTCCGATATCGAGTGACTGAACTTTCCAAGCTTCCATCACATTCTGCTGACAGGACACGTCAGGCGGGCGGCAGATGGAATCAGGGGGATGAATGGGTGCTCTGAGTGTCTGCCTGTGTTTCCCAAATCAGTGAGAAACATTTCAGGAAGAGGCTGTTTTCTGTTTGACAATGGGGGCTGCCACGCATGCTGCACAGAGGCTATTTTCATATTTTTTTTTTTGCAAAAGTCTGTGTGTTCAAATAATCATGTTTTTGTTTTGGCTTCCATTTCACATAGCTTTCACAGTGGAGGTGTCATATTGTGGATCTAGACATGGGTTGATTATATTTTATTTTTTACTGCGTCTTCAATAAAAGCCTACAATAGCAGCATTATTCAGGTTCTGTTAGAGGGTAAAAAGTCCCCCTCGTTCAGATGTATAGTTCCACTAATGATTGGACAACACTGTAACACTGTATTTATTTGCTGTTTTTAGCGGCGCTCTATTTCTTGTCAATGCCTGGTGCCAAGATGTAGTAACATTGCTGATAACGCATAGTATTTACAGTATAGAGATTTTCATGCATTTACTTGCATTATTCATTCACTGTAACTATTACTGAAGCCACAGTTTCGCAAACTTATGGCAGTAAGAATACTAATTTGTGCCATCGGCCCCTCCGGCCACCACCAATCATTCATGCACACACGCACACGCACACGCACACGCAGAGACACCAAACTCAGGCTATGTGGGTGGAATGTTTTCCCTAAACACACAACAACTGTGGCACCTGCTGTTCCCAGAGGTCTCCCATAACAGTTCTAGCCAGGAGCTGCCCTGCTTCGCTTGAATTTTACATATCAAATTGTATTCTTCAGCAACGTCCTGATCTACAGCATCGACATTTCTCAAAAACATAATTTTGTCATTACTTCTCAAAGTCTCTATAACTATGAGACACAGTGGATTGAGGTAATAAATGTGAAATTTTTTTTTGATAAAAACAACATGTTTCTTTCATACAGAATAAGGATTTATATAGCACTATAGATGCAAAAATAACTACTGCAGCCACAGCTGCCCTGGCCAGACTGACAGAAGCGAGGCAACCCGGCATGTGCTAGTGGCCGCTCTGACCACCACAGCTGACCACTGTGGCATCTGGTGTTCCCGGAGTTCTACCATCACAATACTTACCAGCCCCTACCCTGCTTATCTTCAGAGGTCTGAGAGTATCAGGCTTTCACAAGTTACATGTCATGAAGGCAAAAATAAACCACAATCCTCTGTAATGACGACTCTAATTAAAATCAAAACAAGCCTAAACCTCCTGATAATCATGGTTGTTGGCAGTTCCACCCCACAGCCGGAAAGTCCAGGGTTTGATTCCTGGACCACGAGCATCTTCCATTATAGCAAAAACGAAGTTGATTCACTTGCCCAAATTATGAACTCCTCTTCCTCTTCAACTAAACAGAATGAATAAAAACACGCTGTGATTGGGCTAAAATGTCCCAAAAAAACTCATCTGCCGCTAATTGAAAAGTTTTAATGAGGTTCATCCATGCCTGGCTAACACGCTCTACTTCGCTGGTGTATTCTCTGAGCAACATCCTCTCATTGCACATTTTTTATATCATGCTGGAGTGACAGTAAGCTTGCCTGAATGCAAATTGAATGCTCTGGAGCAGTCTGTATTTTCCCCCATTTTTTCTGGGCAAGTATTAGTGGATCCCGCGGTGGAAAAACAATGCGTGCATATTGCATTAGGGAGCAGGAGGCGCGAGAGGAGGCGCATTAATCACACGTTCATAAACAGAGCTCATAATCGCCGTCTGCAGTTTGCAAAGAGTGTGTTTGGACAAATTCAGAGCGTGAAATGATGCGCGCTCGCACCTACAGGCCAACAGAGCCATGTGGGGAAATGATATGGTTTTCACAATGTCATTATTTCAGGTTAGGAAGTGTAGAGTGCGTGGATAACAGGACGTGTGCTAAAGTGTTGAAGATTTTATTCTTATTCATTAGTTTACTGTTAACTGTAGTAATTGGAAGAAATACCAATTGCAGGAGTTGAGTAAAAAAGCAATATTTAACTCTCTGGGAATTTAAATATAGCTCGCTGCTGCATGTCTGATCCCAGCAGATCTCAGATGCTAAGCAGGATATGGTCTGATTTGTACTGTGATGGGAGACCCCAGGGATCACCGTGTGCCACAGTGGGGCAAACTGGTGTCCAACATTACAAAACGTGTGAAAGAAGACAACATTTCAGAAATCTCATGTTCTTTTCTTAAAGCAGGAAATATGTCTAAATGTTTATATTCCACTAAACAATCGGCACTCATTTATTCTACTCTAAAAACAGGTTGATTTTATAGTTGTTATAACATTTAATCTAGTTTGTAGTTATATAGTTATGGTTGTGAAAATATTCAGAGCAAAATATTGGTTGGAATGAGTTGGTCGACCACTACCAGTCATTCACTCATGCACACAAAAACTCACGCAAACTCACAACGGGAAATGTGGGTGAAGGAGACAATGACAGTTTGGCACTTTAGAGCCGCAGCCGCCCCACTGTGACACCTGGTAATCCCAGAGGTCTCCCATCACAGTACTAACCAGCCCATGTCCTGCTTAGCTTCTGAGGTGTGACCATTGTTTTTGTCAGATGGTACATTTGATTATAGTACACAGCATTTCTTTATTATTGCTTGTAAGAGCGCCATATATATTGTAGATGGAAAAAAATCCATTCATACATTTTTTATTGATCACCCTTAAATTTGAATCTGTTGATATTAAAGTTTTTCATTCCGACTTCACGCTCCTCAGGCCCAGTACGTAACCTACAGTTTGTGTGCGTTTGTTTTGATGCATAGGCGCCAAACTAGCGCTGGGTGAGAAATGAGCACCTCTGAGCGCCGCGGGAACGCACAGGAGGAAGTGAGCTGATGAGTGTGGCTTCATAATGTCTGGAGAGATGGAGAGAGGAGCCCGTGAAGAGGGGTCCTGGCCCATTGAGAGCCAGTCCTCCAGCCCTGTGAGGTGAAGCAGCGGCTGATCGATACTTTAACTGCACTGCAATTACCGCGGAGGCCAGAGGGTCAATGCGATCCCATTCATTTAGCCTGACCAAACATTTCATATGGATCGGAAATAAAACGCCAGTCCAAACACTGGAAATAAGATGAAGATATATGGTTTGTTCAGTTGTTTGTGTAAAGCTTTGGAGTGTAAATAGCCAGGGTGGGTCATCAAAGCAACGAGCAAAAGTTCTAGAAATATTGATACAATAATCGAATGGGCAAAGTTTGGAGATTCTGATCAACCCAGTCAAAACAATAACATCCTCATTTTAGACTTATTTTGGTATTAGCCTCTGCAGTGGTTTCATTATAATATGTGTTAAATATGTATATCTGTTTGGGGATTTTGCAAATGAAAATATAAAACAAAATGCATGATCAGTTTAATTGCACATGACAAACTGGCAATCAAAATGTGAGACTCATTCTCCTCTCTGATCTCCTTGCAAATTGTAATCATAATATTATGGACATCATGTGTATTGTATTTTTAATTAAGAAAAGACTGTTGGACCATTCAGAAATGGTCAACTATGATTTGTACATATGACCTGTTATCTGGGAACACATAAAAGATGTAGGTGTCGTTTAATGTTGTTTTATGTCTATTTGTCTGTGCACACTGGAGACTTTTTGCTAATGTATTCCAATGTGGTTTTTTTATTGGAAATGGCAAATAAACTGAATCTGAATCTAAAATGTCCCTTTAAATTGGCCTCTGATTTGTTCTTATATTCAACTCTCAGTCTTCAATTGCATCACTTTTTTATATTTGGTCCAGTTTTGGTTCAATCCAAACAATAACTGAAGTCCTTTTGGTCAGAAGAATCTACCAGATGGTAACATCCAAGCTCACACTTAACATTAATGATTATAATTTAAGAAAAACTACTTTTATACATTCGACTTACTTTTTTGAATCATCCCCCGACCAAAGTGTGATTGACAGCTCTGTCCTAAGCACTTACGACTGTTGCCTTGAAAACTCCAACCTGAGCTGCTGTGTTGCCATATCCTCTCCTCATGTAAACAGGACCCATGGCGACATCACACTTTGTTTGCAGCTAAAATAAAGCTAAGTGCTTTTCCTGTCAGAAGGCCACAGTCGCTCTCATTCAGTGCATCTCCCATTATCCCGCAGCCACTCTGGCACAATCCACTCCGTATTCAAATGGAGTCTCTGCTTTTCTTCCTTCCCATTTCCTGACTCGTCGTGAAAGCTGGGCCGGGCGGAGGAACGGGGGTAAAAAGCCTCAGGAAATTCCAAATATCATCAGTGCAAATGAATCTTTTAGCATCCTTCATAATAATTGTTGTTTTCCTAAGCCTGTTGTCTGGGAACACGTCATCACAGCGTGTGCAGCAAAGCAGAACGTGGAGCTGGTAACGACGTGGATCGCTAATGATAGTAAAACAGAAATTGAGTTATTGTGCTACCTTACCTTATCATAGATGCTTCTCCAACAGAATATTTGCACCTTGTTAATTTAATTGTGAACAATGTCTCAATCTTTTTACATTTTATTTTTGCATGCATTGTAAAGTCAATTTTCTCAAGAAAACAACCAAATTATATTATTCATCTAGTATTGATTTAATTACTATATTCTAAATATTGAACCCAAAACACAGTTAAAAATAAAAAATTGTCAGGAAGCTTAACTTTCAGCTTTGGTTCAGTCCAAGCATGCATTATTTTGTTAATAGTAAATAAAAAGCTAAAATTTGGTTTATTCCTACAGAAATTGTTTTCGAAACTGTCAAAGTCTGGAGTTCCTGGTTATCTGATCAGACTGCTTATTTTTTGGTATTCGGAGCAGACCGCAGGTGAAATGGGGGGAGGCTCTCTCTGACTCCTTCAGAGTCACTAATGGGGTTCGTCAGGGAGGGATTCTCTCTCCCTTGTTGTTTAATGTGTACATACAGTAGATGACATGTCGGTTCAACTCAACTCCTGCACCACAGGATGCAGTCTTGGTTACAGCAGACATATTCACCTCATGTGGGCAGACGATCTGGTGGTGTTCAGTCCCTGCAGAGTCTTCAGCAACTACTTCATGTGTGCTCTCAATATGGTCTGGATCATAATATCAAATATAACGCTGCCAAAAGCCTTGTAATGATTGCGCGTACTAAAGATGACAGTAAATTTTTTCCTCTCCGGGAACATTTTGAATTCTTCAGATGAGGTGAAATACCTCGGTCACGACATCACCAGTGACCTTTCTGATGACAAGGACATGCACATGCAGCTGTGTCAGTTATATGGCCAATCTAATATGCTGCCACGTAAGTTTAGTTTGTGCTCTCCTGAGGTAAAGGTAACTCTGTTTAAATCTTACTGCTCACCTTTGGAAGAGTTTTAAAAAGTCCAGTTTGCAGAAACTCACTGTGGCCTATAACAACTCCTTGAGGCTGCTGCTGAAGGTTCCTCGGCACAGCAGTGAGTGAGATGTTTGCCTACTGTGGTGTCCGCTCTTGTTCTGCATCTCTTCGTAATGTTCAGTTCAGATTCATGTGTTGTCTGAGGAACTCTATTAATACAATTGTTAAGACTCTGGTTAGCCCCGAGCTCTGCTCGAGCAATAAAAAATCAGATGAACAATAATGGATATGCAAGCCTTCCATAGACAGTGCAGGAATGTGAACTCACACTGCTATAGCCACTTTAACCTCATTGTGCATAATATATCTGGCAGAAAAGAGACTATTTATACATTTTTAACATGTTTGCACCTTTCCTGTCTTTTGCAAAACCTAGTGAGTGATCCTATTGATGCTAAATGTGACATGTACATATCTCCATTGTGAGATCAATACAGTTTATCTTATCTCTTTAAAGTATTGCAATACTCCTGAGTACGTGACCGCTCCGGCAAAGGGCTACACCGGACAAGACTGGGAACCACTGCTGTTACACACGTGAATGAATCAAAACACAACTCTAGTTATGCATGGTTTCTGTCATATCTATAAAGCATTTTGGTTTTATTTTATAAAGAATTGAGGCTTTTATGTGATCGCAGAGGCATATTGACACATGATGAAAGTATTGGCGGGTGTAGGACTTAAATAACACTCTGTCTGCATAGTTCAATAAATCCATGAAGAAAGAAAATATTCAAAAAACATTTACATTGTGTGTGTGAAAACTGAAAACAGCCACATGTTCAGTAGGGATGTCATGCTGGGCGGTCTTTCCAGTTTGTGTTTTGGAAGAAAGACACTTAAGCCAGTTGGCTACTCGAGCACAAACCAACACTTTGAGAATGCAAAATGAATGAGGCACAATGAGGGACAAGCCGGCACTGGAGCGTGTGATTCTGAATATTTTGTACTAACAAGCTTCTGTTCATATCATAATGTTGCTCATACATAGACATACACAGTTGCAGTCATCACTCTAAATATTACTCTGAAACTTTTTTTTTTTTTAAGGGTATTAGCATATTAAACACCATATTCCCACTCCTGGTTTGGGCAGTGGACTATCAAAGCTAAGGGCTTACTACCCTAATATTCTTTCAGAGTATTACAGATAATCTACAGATGTATTTAAGAGTATCTAGAGCATGGGTGTGAAAGTCAAGGCCCAGGGGCCAGATGCGGCCCGCAAATGAATTATCTTGGCCCCTGGGATGATATTTGATTGGTAGAACCGGCCGCACAGAGCCATAAGAAAATATTGGAAACATCATCTAATGTTCAGGACATGTGTTTTCTCTTTGAAGAAAGTTTGTTTTTGTTCGTGAGCTGTTGAAAAATGTTTACACTTGAAATGACTGACAGAACCTTACAGAAATATTGAATTATTAATTTAATCTTTAAATTAAATACGGTCCAGTGTGTTAGGTCTTGGTTCACCTGTCCGGCCCTCGGCTAGTTGCAAATTTGTTTTTTGGCCCTCTGATGTATTTCACTTTGACATCCCTGCTCTGAAGTATGAAGTATTAAACACATTTCTTCTTTATTTTGCTGAAACTAAAGATAATGTTTTTAGTTTATTTTTTTAAGTATAGAGTTGTGCTAAGTAAGTTTTTATTTATATAGGCCTTGAGTCACAAAGCACTTTACAATCACTCCACATAGAGATGGGAGCGAGGTCGCCATACCGGAGGCACAAGTCAAACCTATTGCACATATTTTTTTGTGGTAGGGGGAACCGGAGCCCCCGCAGGAAACCTATAGAGACACAGGGAGAACGTACAAACTGCACTCGGAGAGGCACTGTTCCGACCAGGATTCGAACCCAGGTGGACCCGGAATAAGAATTAGCCAATGATAATGTCACATGTGTAAAAAGCAGGTTCTTCGGACCAGGATTTATAAAAGGACCACTGGATTAAAAGCGAATTAAAAGCAGTTTATTTTAAAATACATTAAAAACAAGTAAATAAAAGCAATAAAACCCTAAGCTAAAAAACAGACTAAAAAGCTAAAACAGGCTAAAATGCGTCCCCACGGCCTGGGCTGCCAGACCACGGGGCTCTCACCCGCCACGTCTGGCTCTCTCTGTCTCTCTCCTGCCCCCTCCCCATCTCCTTTTGTACCGTGGCACAGGTGTTCTAATTGTCACGTGGGGAGCCGGGGTGCTTCAGGTGGTGCAAGGAATATTAAAAACACAAACACGACTTGCATAAAATATAAATAAAACCATATTAAAACCCACCACCCATTTTGCACCCCCTGACACTAACATATAGCATCGGCAGACCTCTGGAAAACGTCTTTACAGGATTGTCCAAAAGTTGGCTCTTGGGCCAAAGCTCTGTTCCACATGTGTGTCAATGCTGAGGGGGAGGGATTTGTTTGGCCCACTCTAGTTTACTTGCTGTGAAATTTTGAAGTCTCTCGTTCTAATGAATGGAGCCGGCTGACGCATGCGCAGATGCGTTTTTTCACAATTTTCTTGTGGTTGGGACCACTCGCGGC